GTTCAGTTTTATATATACGAATAGGGTGTGTAAATTCGAATTAAAAGTAAGTCTAAGAAAATTATATCAATTACTTTATAATTTCCAGACGTAATATCCTTTTGTATGGTAATTTAGCAATAAATTGCAATTTTAAACAGTAGTTAATCTCGGTAGATTTTATCTTTACCCTCTTTTAGGGATACTTAATCAGGATGGGAGTGGATTGGACATTATTATAACACTGGCAACAAGAAAATCCGCCGAGGAGGTAGGCTAATAAAACAAAACGACTCCTCAAACTTAGGAGCACTAAGTCACAAACTAAGTTACGCCGTAGCAAACGGCGTAATTCCACAGCTCATATTTTCAGTTGTTCGTGGAAATTGGTGAGGGCATTAAATTTAGAGTTGCAACGCCGGCGCGGAGCAGCGCTAAGTCGGGTCGGACCACTGTACTAGCGGTAGCGGAAGCGGTAGCGATTTTCAACATTAAAGAAAGTTAATAGACAATTACGTAAAATATGCATGAAGATGGAAAGCAAATCTGCACTTTAAGTAAATAATTAAACTTAAAGCAAAATGGCATATCGTTGAATTTTGTCAATGTTTTAGTGCGATAATTGCATTAAGAAAAGATAATATGGATACGTAAAGTATTGCATTAAATTTAACTTCTGCGTCTAAATACCACGTTAGTCTATTTAAGCGAAATCAGAATTTAAACCTCGAATAGAATTTGAAGGATGAAAGAATGAGAATACGACTGGGAGTGAATAGACCGGCGGCCTAAGAAAACAATATTTGACTATCGTGAGTAACAATGAAAGCCCACTGTTGGCTTAAATTGAAGAAAGTTAATGGGAACACAATGATAGTTTATATTTTTGTGTGATTTTTTCTCAGGATTAGGTTACTAGGAATACACAATATTATTATTACCCGATAATGAGTCAAAAATGTATAAAGATGAAAAAAAAAAGTGTGTGTGTACTTTTGTACACGGGTTAGAAGTTATACTTCTTTGGCGTAACAAGATAAAAATCTTTTCAAAAATATTATCTTTCGCCTTATTCTACGTTTGTAGAAAAAACGACAATAACAATAGAAAAAAAGTAATTAATACATTGAAAGTTTTGACATGAAACATTGAAAGTAATTAATACATTGGAAGTTCACGCAAACATACGTAGATGTCTAAATAACTTCAGGGTGTCGGTTTATCGTGCTGGTGTGTGCGCGCATCGTAAAAATTTACTCTCATCATCTTTCCCTAACACGCCAAAAGAAGTATAACTTCAAAAATAATATAATATTATTAACACGTAAGACAGCTTGTATGCAGCAATGTCAAAAAAATCGTAATAACTTAATAATAGCGAACTGATATCATGATCGTGTCATTTTAAATAAGTCTCATAGCAATGATCCAAAGAATGTATAGCATTAATACATGCATTCTCGTGAATAACGTCGTAGATAAAAATATGTACGCGGGTATACATCGAAAACAAGCCTTTAAGGTATTCCTCAAGGAGCGTAACAACACCCTCCCCCCACCCCACATCACCCCCCGCCGCCATTCAAGAAAATTGAGGGAAGCACGAACAGGGTTATACTTGGAAAATAATAAAATAGAACTGTTGAAATGATAATTTCTTACGCGAATACTACACACGAAACTGTTTCACCGATATTCCAACATTCCGAAAAAGGCTCTCAGTTCGGTTGAAATTTTTTTGTGTTTGTTACTCAGAGTTCCGTCATTTATGATCTGATTAAAAAAAATGTTCTAGCAATGCGTTCTGTTTAGCTCCCAATTGATCACATTAATTTCAGTATTGGACCTGGGACTCCGGGGATACATCAAGGAACTCATCAAAATCAAATAGAAAATGTATACTTAAGTCGGTTTTCTATTTTGTTAATAAAAATGTAGGTTCATTATTATGTTACATTAAAGCAATGGGCCATATCATATACTGTCGAATATAGTCGGTTTCTTGTTATGATTTTAATGACAACTATTTCCATACCCAATTATACTATACACGACCTATACTATACTGACACAATTAACGCATTCTCGTCTTTTCCTGTCCTGTATGAAGAGCGAATTGTTATGCAGACTATCATTGACAGTAGTATATAAGGTCAAGAGAGACCCGAAGTATACTGATCAAAACTTCGTAAATATAATAACAAACTAAAATCGATAAAAATTCCTTATACAATTAAAATTGGAAATGTTACGTTTTAATGTAAGTTAAAAATTAACGCTAGAAACAACAGTTGATGTAATTAATACATGTGTCAGAGAATGCTTTGCAGCTTTACGACGTTTTAATTTAGTAAGTTGATGACAGGCCATTTGTCGTATTTTTCATGAATAAAGTGATTGATGAATAATGATTCCTTGAAATTTATTAAAGAGGGTTCATCGTGAGAGGCATTTCTTCACTCTTATATAAGTGAAAGAAATTTGATATGATACAATTAATTTCCATTCTTGTATTAGATATGTTAAATAGATGATTTTGTTTATCAGACAATCAATATTCAGCACATATTTTTATACGTAAATCTATGGATATATATAAAAATGTATATAAACAACTGCCGAATTATCACGTGTTCAGCGGTGAAGGAAAACATCGTGATGAAACCTGTATATTTTCGAAATAATAACAAAAAATAATATTTCGAAGATATGTGAAGTCCGCCAATCCGCAGTGGGGCTGCGTGGTCAACTATGCCCTTATACCCTCTTTACAGAGGAGGCCTTTGCCCAGCAGTGGGACATGTATAGGCTGATACTTTACTTTATATTTTATATAAACAACACATCTATATGTATTTATCTCTCTTATTTTCTAGACCACTTTAATTTTCCTTATTCTATTGGACCAATCACAGATAGGTTGAGTTTTTTTGTTCTTGTTCACTTGTTGCACCTATTATTTTTATCTTGATTAATTTTTGATAATCTTCACGAAAAGTAAAATTACCTTTCTCAAAATCACCCATTTTTATTCTACTCAATAAAAATCTGTACCTTACCTAGGAGACACGAAAGTACGCAGATGCTCAATTTTATAGCTCAGTTACAAACATCCTAGTGTTGATTGAGGTCAAAGCTACTTCTTGCCGAGTAAATGTATCTAATTTAACAATCACTGTACTTTCTGAGAAAATCAACGAGCTTACATATTTTTAACGTTTGCACGCCAGACGATTCAAAAAACAAATGATCGTGCTGCATAATCTTTTGTTGAAATTTGTTTTTTCGTTATTCATTTTATCACATCGACTTTTACGAGTAACCCATCTAACTAAAGTCACAATTAATAAATATTTAATAAATTATTTTTATCATGAAACGTCGTGTAAAGTAAGTCGTGTAAGGAATCAAGTTTTACTAAAAGCAATTCTAATAATTTACAAGAATCTCATACAAAGTTAACTAATCTTTAACCCGGTTCGCAGCGAGCATTTAATATGAAATCAGCTCTAGTCTTCTACTACATAGTGTATGTAATAATTCGAGCGGGGCCAACCCTACCTCCCACAAAGGCCCGAGTCACGTTCAAAGAGAAATAGAAAAAGGACATCGCCCCACCGTTGTGTCGTCTCGCAACGTGACAGAGTCTACCTGACGCCCCGCGTCGGAGCTTGGCGCGAAAGAAAACGGTTTTATACGCGACCCAGTTTCCACTTTTCCGAGTTCAACAATGCACGTCATTCGTTTCTAAGGTACGGTGTGTAAAAAGCGAACGGTTGAAGGCGATAGTTCGAGATGACTTAATTTGCCCGACGGATGTTATGTCTCGGCGGATGGAAAACCTATTACCTTCTCTGCCAGTGGCCATGAGGCATTCCCACGCGAGGCATTTATTTGTGACTCATAGATACTCACGGATCTAGTTGATTGTTCTGAAAGAGAGTTGACGCCAGGCTGGTCGTGAGAAATCTAGCGAAAACGATAAATATCGTGATACATTTGTAGTGCCAATCCCACAAATGGGATAAGGGCTGGAGTAAGAAGAGGCGTACGTTCTGACGCGTACTAATATTAGACTTCTTAGTTTCAACATACGAAACTTAGGGGACTAATACGTTTCGCATACATTAAAATACGAGTAGTGAAGGTATTCAAATGACAAGTGACATTCAAATGCTTGTCGCGACAGTTTTAATGTGCCTAAGAGGTCGGTTTGATAGTCCAGTACTAAAACTAACATATCTCGATAATGTTCCTTTGTGGAGGATCCGACATGATATATTTCACGGCCTTTATACATGTAATTAATGTTAGTGAAGTTTAAAATGTGATATGTAAATTTCACTGAACCTTGTGTCTGTAGACTTAAAATTCTAACAATCTAATGACGAATTTTCTATATGTAGTTGCCCTATATTATATTAATAAGATGTGTGTAGCAATTTGCTTCCATCATATCATCAGTCTCATTTCACAGATCTCATTTTTCCAGGTACAAAGAAAGAAATGTGTTGAAGAAATCATGAAATAAAGTTTGTTGAAAAAGCTCCCTGGCCTTAAGAACTTTAACAAGGCTTCATACCTTCACACAGAGTCCTCAGGAAGACTACTGTTTCCTTTTTACTTGAAATCTTACATAGAAGTGTTAGTATTCACGTTGTCCGAAAAGGGATTTATCATGTTAGACTTAGATGATTTAAATTTGGCGAAGTCGAAGCCGTCGTCTGTGTTGAAAAAGATCACTATCGGAAAGAAAATTAGTGCGTAGAACCTTTACACGTGTTGAAGTGAGACTAAAAAAAATCTAAACAGTTAATATGTAATAAAGTAATTTATTAATTAATCATAAATTATATTTTTTTATTTTAAATGTATAGTTCAGATACATACCTACATCCTCGTACGCAACGGAATCGTGTCATAGCCGTGACGCGTTTCCGTTGCATTGTCGTCATCGAAAGAATTCACTTACAGCTTAGTCGCGCCTAAAGAAGTTTTACTTGAATACTCTTTCGACCAACCTCTTTTGTGGTCCTCAGCAGCCCTGTTGAGCTGGGGCGGCAGGGGCGCCGGTATGGCGGGAGCTGCGGGCGCGGTCGGCAGCCCAGGGTACCACCAACCGGTGGCTGCTTGGCCGTTGAACATCCTCAGCTTCTCGTACACGCTGTCGTTCTGCGCGGAGGCCGCCTGCTCCTTCTGCGATGCCAGGTTCCGCAATACCCGGTTGATCGATGACACCTGGTGGCGAGGAGTCTCGATGAAATCAATAGTTCAGCTCTAAGCTGTTCCTTATATCCTAATTTTTTGTTAAACTTGTTTAAACCACCATCTTACAGAAGACCAGCGGAAAGAAGTGGAAGTGTTATTCTGTGTTTCGTCTAGTGACTTAGCGAGTGAGGTAGCCGGGGCTCACAAAAAGGGGCAACGCATCTGCAACCCTAAGGGTGTTGCAGATATCCACGGGCGGCGGTGGTTAACATCAGGCGAACCGCCAGCTCGCTTGACACTTTCTCAAATAAGAAAAGGTAAAAGAATACAATCGTTTATGGTATGGTTTTCTTGTACAGTTCTAAGTTTATTTTAGTATTTCATTGATCGATACACATGATTCGATTTCGAACCATTATGTTATTACTGGAAAATTTCAGCATGAAAACTAATACGATTATAAGTTACTTTTAAAGCGTGTTGGAAATATTTCATATTGTTGACAGTTAGTTCTTTCAGAATTAGCAAGCTAAATCCATTTCGTATGACGGATAAGTCTAACACGATCCCGGAGCCGATTCTCATTACAACTAATTCTAAATTTCCATCTCCGCCAAACTGTAAACAACTATCTAATAGGGAATAAATTGCCGACGGCCCCCGCCACCCGTTAAAGTTCCCTGCACGTGTAATTTAAAATCTAATATGATTACTAAATTCCAATCGGGAACCTCAAAGGGACACAGATTAGGGACGCGCCCCCCGTCTCACCCGCCGAGCCTAAAAACCCCAATATCTATCTACTTTCGGCGGAAAAGCACGCATGCGTGAAAAACCTGGCGCACACAAATATAGCCGCCCTATGTATGGGCACTTTAACGCGTTGTTCCCGCTGTACGGCCGGCTATGTACCGGCGGGGCGTCCCCGGGACGTGATATCTGTTTTCTTGTCGCCATTGGCAACGGGGAAAATGTATTTTTCCCCGCCGTGGGGCGGGAAGTCGGCCGGCGCGGGGTGGCCGCGATTTTATTACGCGGCGAGCCTTCGCGCCGTCAGAAAGAATCGTACCGAATTGCTCTAACGATCGATCTGCTTGAATCTTTCGACGGTTCTTCCGGTACACGCAGAATCATCCAGTACTTTCTGGTACAGTCTAGAAGATTTCCTTTTTGATAAAGAACGGTATTGATTACCGCACGACTGCTCCGTCCGTTGGTAATCGATGATTTACGCCCGGTTACTGAAACACTGATCATCGTAGAAATTAACTAATCAGCTTGATGGAGCAGCATTTCAAATGTCATTTTTCATTGACAGCTGATTAGTTAATTTCTACGATGATCAGTGTTTCAGAAACCAGGCGTCAGTGTTAGATGATGCACTAGTCCACTAGAAACTGATTTGGCGCATATTTTCATAACGATTTTAACGAAATATCGGTCTGTTATAAAAAAACTGGTCTAAGAAATTTAAATTGTTTATAGTGCTAATCTTTGCACTTAAGATTGAACATTAAAATATGTAGAAAAAGTGCGAAAAGATTGTCGCCGCTGTGGGAATCGAACCCAATTCGCGGCCTGACGCTCTAGCCACTGAGCTAAACGGCTGATGACCACACCGACGAAAATCTTAAGTCCCACAGCGGCGACAATCTTTTCGCACTTTTTCTACATATTTTAACTGGTCTAAGATTACAATTTTTACATTTTCTCATAACGGGGACTGCAATATGATGCCATTATATATGAAAATTCCGCATGCACTCAGCGAAGTATACATATTTTGTGCACAATCTCTCCCCGCTTCGCATAGTTTCCCTGTTTAATCCCCTGTAACACTAATGGAAGGTAATGTACGCACGGGCTAGACTAGCGCAGACGGAGGGCGTGTGCTGTAAAACACCCACGCTTTTTAATTTTCCACGCGAGATGTAAAACCTCAGCGTTCCTCTACTATTTGCTTCTGTGTTAATAGCCTTTTAAAGATTTGTATTGAAGGCAACTTAGAATTTTAAACATACACAATTGTTTTGCTAAATATAAACTTTGAACAGTGAAACATTATAGATATGAAAAATATAAAATTTAAATAAACATTTATCATTCCCAAAAATAATGAATCTTTGTTTATAATATATAATATATAAATAATATAAAAATATTATAAATAATATACAAATAATATATAAATAATATATAATATTAAATAATATATTATAAATAATATATAAATATTATAATATATAAATAAGCTTTGTTTTTTGTATCTTTGTTTGTAACTAGCTACTTCTCAATAGTCATATACATTGTTCTTTAAATATAAATTTAGCAATATCTGATGGAATTTTATTACTGCCAAAGCAAAAAGAATCCAATTAGTAATGAGTCGATCATTTTATCCATAACTAATCATGAATACGAGATACGTAAGGTCACTCAAATCGAGTACGAAACGCGTCGTTTGCAGTGTCGAAAAACACGAATTCCAATTTCAAAAATCTTTTTCATAGTCAGATTGAGCAGAGAGAAAAAAGCATTTTCTAATTCCGAACACGAGACAGGCCAATAGGCGAGGTGCATTTAAAACACGAGTTCTGTTTTTGACAGCTCTTTAACCAATCAGATCGGAACGGGGGAAGATTAAAGAGCGACTGTACATCGGACGTGTGTCCTATTAGAATTTAAAAAGGATTTATCTTTTTGCCTGAACGATTCAACCTCTATACGGAGGAACTGTTCATTTAATTGAAGAGTGAACGAAGTGTGCGATTGTCAATGTGTTTGTGTGCACGTATTTTTTGAGTTCTAAGACTTTTAAGATTCATGTTGTTTTCTTGTAAGTTATATTCAATCTTTCAGAATGAAAGACATATTAAATATATAAATAACACCAATCAACGACGTATGTTTTTATTTAATACTCCCGGCATTGCTATCACGAGATAACCATGAACGCTTTAAAGTAAAGAAGGAAAAAAATTAACCCCAATAAATCCGTAAACTACTTTTATTAAAATAGAAGGATACGACTTTTGTTGGGGCACAGTTTTAAATATGGGTTTATTTAAAATTTTTCCTTAAAATGTAATTTCACGCAGAAAGTTGAAAAATGTTCATCGATATTGGTGATATATTAATTTTTAGCTCGAAAATAAATCAAGGGACGTGTTGGCACTGAAGTCACTGAACTGTGGAATCCGTCGAGGTGACACATTTTCGGATGATGCCAAATTTGCATATATAAAAATTCAGCCCGTGTATGTTTGTGCACGTAAGCGAAAAGTAGCCGGTCGATTGACTCGATAACTTCGTGTGTGTTTCCATAGCGAAATGAGACTTTACTGTAAGTGTCATTTTCACTTTAAATACGAAATCATTTCCATCGCATGATTTTGCAGCATCGTGAAACGGGGTATTGTAAATGTATTATGGGCTTATTAAATATACGGTGTAAATTTAGATAAGATTTAGATAACTTTATTTACTTTTAAATTCGCTCTATATCAAACTGAGCTAATCTGAATGTTAAATAATTTCGCTTAAAGGTAACCATAACTATTCAGCGATGAAATGCAGCTAGAGTTTTCACACCACATCATGTGATACCATGTAGTTTAGTTAGAATTTAATATTGTAAATATTTTTCGACTGACTACAAAAACGGAGGGGTTTATCAATTCGCATGATTATTTTTTTAAGTTTCCTAACTCAGAACTCCGTCATTTATGATTCGATTTTAAAAACCCTTTCTGTATTGGGTTCGGTTTTGCTCCCATGTGGTCCCATATTAATTCCGTTAGTTACACTCGTAACACTCGAAAATCAAATAGAAAATGTATAGTGAGTGAAATATTTGAAGTCGCTTTTGTGTTTTGTTAATACAAATGTTCATAATATTATCAAATCAAGGTATTAATTGTTATTGTTCAAAAAAAAACATTGCCCTTACTTTAGGATAACATTATCCTGTGCTGTAAGGACGTTTTACAAAATACAAACGATAGATGCGATACAACTATATGTGGGTCACACAAATAGTTGTCCCGTGTGGGAATCCAACCCACGACCCCCGACGCCGAAGCCAATGAACGCCCATGGCAACTGCACCACGGAGTCGTCAATAATGTACTTATTGTTCAATGAAATTAATAACGATTACAAGCAAAGCAGTTTACAAAGACGCAACTAGTTCGATGCAATATAGGATGCCGTACAGTGCGTTTGGTTCTATTCCGCGTAATATTTTCGTAACGGCAATCGCATTTCGGGTGAGTCCCCCGTTTATATTTGCTCAGATGTCGTCGCGTTCGGGCATCTCCCGGATTATCCGCGACACTGCGCCCAGCTGCCGTCCCAGCTACACGCATTGCGTGCGAAGTTTCTTTGTTAATTACGATGCAATGTCGCTGCGAACACGGCGGAGGTTTTTTGAAAGAGGTTCGGTCTTAAAACTAAATCTATATGAGAACATGTAAACAAAACCGCTCAGTACCACCGCTGTTTGTCGATCGATTTTTGGAACGAAGTTTCTTATCGCGCGTTACGGATTTGGCGGATGGGGGATAGGCGCAAAAAAAGTGTGAGAATTTTCCGTCACGACCGAATCGTGAAGAAAATACAAACCGTAATCAAGTTATATAGTAATTGTATACAGAAATTGGCCAGGACGTCACATAGAAGGAAGCATACAGTCAGTGAATGTGTAAAGTCTCCAATATGTAAAGTAAATATGTAATGTAGGCAGTCATATGCTATTTTTAAATAATTTTTTGCTAATTAGCAGGGTCTACTGTAGAGTTACTTTAACAATAAGTGTCGAGTTAACTTTAACTATAAAATCATTTAGCATTATACATTTTTATGTCTCAGCGATAATTTAAATAAATTTGTAATGGTTTTTTATCTTTGTAAAGTACATGTCGGGCAAATAACCACACAATGACACCAATGATCGTTCAATCACCATTTGCTCAGGTCAGACTTAAAGGCATGTTAATAAAACTCGTCTGCACTCGTCATTTAAATAAACT